TATTACCTTGGCTTGCACACAGGAGTTGCAGTACCAAGGTAATAAAGAAACAAGAGTATGTTTAGCAGTAATAGTGCAGAAAACTGTAATAGTTATATGATAATAAAATATTGTTGAAAAGTAAATGATTGACACTTATAATTAAAAAATGAACTCAAGTCGATTCAGACAGATATATAAACACTGTAATATCTATTCCATATCAGTTGCAAGAAGTCTGCCAGTCACAGTGAACCTGTGGGAAAGCTGATAGCTTTCATGTGAGACACAAATAAAACACAACATTTCATTCTGAAAATCCCTCTCTCAGGTTAGAAGTTGTCCAGCTGAGATTATATATATTTATTGTTATGAAGAAGATTGAGCTGTTATATGAATGAAATATATTAGCTCTAATTTGGAGTACATGTTTCCACTATTCTTAATTTTGAAAAACTATTAATAGATCATTTAATAGTATACTACAATCTTTCTTTATGTCTCATCCTCCAATTTCTCATTCTTGTAAAATTCCTGTTTTACATGGTTTGACAGGCAAAGACCCTCAGTCTCTTCTTGCCTCTAACAATTTTTCCTTTCCGGTTTATCAGTTTCTTTCCTCTTTGCTTGATGTCATCTGGTACCCAAAAAGTAAGTTTTGGATGCAGGAAATTCTGCTGAAGATGGAAGCAGTATGTTCCTCCCAAACATCAGTACCTTCTATAAGACTCAATAGTGTCACGTTCCAGAAAAAAAGTACTAGAGTCACAAATGTGAAAACTTCCAACATCAAAGCCATATTTTTATATAAAAGGCTTTCTCATAATTTATCTAAGTCAAAGCTTAGAGACCTTCCCTTAAGGTAGCCCATAAGTAACCTCAATATTTTAATATGGTGGACTGAACTCTCTTTGTCTATTACTTGTTCAATTGTAGATACACTGTCTACACAAAGCTCTCCTTTCCTATATGTGTCTCGTTCCTTTGCTAGTTCTATTATTTATATTACAACCTTTAATCCATTATTGTGAATTTCTGAATATATTTTTCAGCCACAGCTAAGGTCACTGATATGCCAGGAATTTTTGCTTCAATTTATAAAGTGATTTAACACTAGCAGCAACTCACAAAGAGGAACTTATATGTAGCACATAATCATAAAATGAATAAATCTCGGTTTCTATAATAATGTTTCATAAACATTATTTCTAATGTTATATTTTAGCGTCCTGTTGCACTGATTTATGTCCATGACTTATTCCAGCCGTCTTACAGTGCATACACTCATCCACTTCTTTCTTCACCTCTGCACTACATGTTTCGGCACAAAGGTGCCATCCTCAGGTGCTTTTCGATTTACGTTAAACTACTTCACTGCATGCCTTACCGTCTTCATACTAAAATAACTAAAATATATGTTCATCATATATGTTGATAAATATTTTTAATATTTATTATTTATCAATATATCAATATATTCATCATATATGTTGATAAATATTTTTAATATTTAATATTTATCAATATATATGATGAACATATATTTTAGTTATTTTAGTATGAAGACGGTAAGGCATGCAGTGAAGTAGTTTAACGTAAATCGAAAAGCACCTGAGGATGGCANTGGCAATACATAATATCAACATTAATTCAATTAAGCTTAATCTTTCATATTTCAATTGCTAAGAATTGTGACTGTCTTCTTGTATGAATTTTCCTTGTGGCCCAGTGTGGGGATACGTATGTAAAAGGGGGTTGCAATCCTGAAACCCTACTTCACTCTTGACAGGACTGTCAATTCACAGAAGACATAAACGCTCAATCAAAGACAGATGGCAACATATCATGAAGGGTAGAAAAACTGGATTATGAGTTCAGTGTTTCACATAACATGGGTTCAGCTACTGCTTTACAAAACTTGGAGGATCTCTGTTCTTGCTTTGCAGCAGTTCCTTATTTTCTTCCTATAAAGTGGATAGAGTGAATGCATAATATGTAGGTCATGTATCTCTTGTTTGTCTATCTAGCTTCAAACTGCTCAACTAATTTAAATTAAATTTAGTGGAAAAAATCTGCATCTGAAGTTGTCTGGACACTTATACCATCAACAAAATGATATTCAGAGCTTCAATTTCCTTTTTGTAACACAAACTTCATGGTTCTCTCTATGTCACAAGCTAACCTTGATTTATTCAACTTTTCAAAAGGTTGGAGCATTTCCATTCGGGCTCATGCAAGAAAATGGACATGATTTTACTTCTTCNGCTCATTTTCAGCTCTGAAGAGATTAAAAAACTACTTAAGAAATTCGCAGAACCAGGATAGGTTGTCATCACTGGCTTTGATGAACATTGAAAAGTCCTTCCTAAACAAACTGCAGTCCAAACCCAGCTTTCTAGATGAGGTTATTGATCTGTTTGCCAAGAAAAACAGAAGAATCGAGCTGAATTATAAACAATAAAGTAAGCATTAATTATATTCCAGGTTCACAACCCTGTCATTTGATGGCTATAAAATTGTGTTGATAATTATGTGTTATTTTAATATATTAGCTTAAATATACAATACATATTAAACTATTGGCTGTTTTCTTTTAAATAGAAGATAGAAACTATAGGGTATGTAGAAACAATTTATATACACGTATATAAAGTTGCTTCCCTGCTTTCGGTAGTCATGCTACGCCACTGGGCTCTAGAAGGGAAGCCATTTAAAATATTTGGTATAGCACTATCACATCATCATCCTTCTCATTTCAGCACCCTTCCCCTACAAAAGTGACTATACCTCTTGTAAGTATTAAACTATGAATTACTTAAAAAAAATCGTTTTGTGGTCCTTGATGTCACCTGCAGTCTACAAATGTACTAAATCATAGAGTATCATAAAATCACTCACAAATACACCAAAAACACTTCAAACAATCCTTCATGTTTCATCTAATTATGCTTGTGGCAAGCATGGTCTGAAGTACAGGAGCATATAGGCACACACACTGGTTGGAAATTTGTCAGATATTAAATTTTATTTCATGTTTGTAATTGGTAAGGTCATTATTGTCAGTTTATGATGACATGTCATTTTCAAGGTTATGTAGTAAGTTATGCATGGTAATAATTATGAATGATGGGTAAGGAAGGTTGTTTAGGGAGATTAGGCAAATTTCAAGCAGAGAATGAGGCAAAGAAACAATGAACTCCAGAGAGAACATTCAGTCTGTGATTAAGATTTGAATATGGTACTTTCTGAATATGAATCAGCTGTGTGAGGTTTGAGGTTCTCATTGCAGTGACTGATAATTCTGCCCTGTGGGGTGTGTTTCCAGTGTTTTGGAGGAACCTGCTGCCTCCATCTTCAGGGTAGGAGTGTAAGCTGAGGATGGAAAGAAGTGGGAATATGGACAGGCAGGACAAAGACTGGGGCCCTCAGACAGCGAACATGAATAAAAGAGCAGGAAAGGGAGGGAGGGAGGGAGGAAGGAAATGTGGCTTTTAGAAAAGTTGTTTTCTGAGGGTCCAGCATACTATCCTATCCTAAAGACTGAGGCAGCAGGTCCCTTTGAAACTTTCATAATGTTCTACCAAACTGCATGGCATCACATCCTGGAATCATCGTGAACCAGTTTCGTTACACTGATCCAGCATTTGTTTACAGCTGGAAAGGCAGATGTCACTTCACAGTATGGAAAATGCAGGAAGTTCAAAAAGCTTCAGGAAGATACTGCATTTAATGACTAATAAATGTATCTGTGGATTTGGTCTCTACAGTGATCGTGACAGCTGTTAATTTTTTAAACAAATATTAACATTTATATCTTCTGATAGTGTGATAAAATACTTTTATTATTTGTGGAAACAACGTTCCATTACTGTTACAAGTCATCCAAAATGTTCAGATTACAAAAGTTTTAACATGCACATTTTGGTTCAAAAATGTGAATATGTGAAGTCAAAAAGATATGGTCTAGAATACACTGCAAATCATCTCAAAGAAACAGTAAATGGACGGTTTCCTTCAGCATTTCCTTAAAAAAAAGTTTTTAAAGTACTGTCATACAGATATGTGGCTTCTGACTTGACAAGTTTGCTGGTACACATAAACTGCATTCCTGTGTGTCCATGAAAAGGGCTGGTCTTCCTTTCATATATTTTTACTTTTATTCATCCAGTTCTGGAATGGGAACATCTGTTGGTGTTCAGTGAAACACTTCTGAGATTAGCTTTCTTACTCTCATACTGAGAATATTGGAATGGAATGATTATCTGTGTTCCTACTGAAGAAAATAAATTTCCTCTCTCAAAATACTACTGCTGTGGGCTGCCACATTTATTACACATACTGTGAATACTCCCAAATATCCACTGGAATTTGGAAGTCAAAACAGATATAACCACAAAAATGTGTACTTGTACAACTAGTTTGGTTTCTTGAGCAAAATATTTCTGATATTTTGAAATGGTAGATCAAACAGCAGTGTTAGGAGTATAGAGCCCACAGTAATTATCACCATCTCTGGTACATCAACCTGCAACAAGGAATTTGTTAATGTCAGCTGTAGCTTCAGAAATATGGTATTATTATTCATAAATATAAAATTCAAACAAATTAATTAAAATATTATACTTAAACCCTTAAAAGTGATAATATTCATTAAATTAACAACACAATCACTGCATAAAATGTAAGCATTGTTAACATGGAACATAATCACCATTTTTTACTGATTTATACAGTATATCTACATCCTGGTGGCAGAGGTAGAAAACAAGCAAGAGACAAGAAAATGAACGTGCCATATAGTGGCTCTTGATGAAACCAGAGCACAAGTTTATGAACCTGAACTGAAATGGCAGTCAAATGAATGATGCCGTCCAGTTTCCCACATCTGAAGCAAATTCACTAGAAAAACAGTAGGATCAAAGGTATGCTCACTGTGGCAATATCGATGTTACCATCCTCCACAGTGCAGTCTCACTGGTTGTACTGTCAATGCAGAGTACTACTAAGTATTTCTGGTGCATTATCTGTGTCCTTTAGTGAGACAAAAGCATCTGTGTTTCTACATTGGTGCTCAATCAGTTGCATTGCATGACAACGCACTGCTGTGAGGCAAAACCTTCTGGCATGGTGGCAAGGGGACTCTGGAACATCCTCTCTACTTCTCGGACATGAGTTCGTGCTACTTTAGTCTGTTCTCAATAACGAAGAAACATCTAAGAGGCAAATGGTTTTTACACTATGGAGGCGATAATGTAAACAATGGCACCATCTCTTGCAACAGTTAACAGGAATATCTATTGATGGCATCAGTCACATCCCACAGATTTGGGATAAGGTTGATGACATGGTACGTGACTATTCTAAAGGCATGTGACATTTCTTTTCATTGAATTCGAATGCTTCTTGGCATATTACACACATTGTTATTACTTTTAATTCATCCCTGATAAAAATCTGGCTTCAAAGTGGTAATAAAAATCTATTTTACAGATAGAAAAAAAAACATATTCATTAAAAAGTTACAGCAGAAATTTAATTTGCAATGGCTGTTTTGACACGAAATTAATGTGCTGGTTTAATTAACACATGAGGATTATATAACTTCAGAATCTGAATACTTTAAAAACTTACCAAAAGAAGCACATTATACGTGTAAGTAGCGCGATTCTTGCCAACCATGTAGAAAAGTATTGGGAACTGAATGAGATATAGCGCATAAGAAAGTCTTGTGGTCACCAGGAATCCATGCCATGATAAAATACGGCCCAGCAAACCTGCAGGGCATAGAAAACCTACTGTAATGCCATAAGAACTACAATCATTAAATGATACATTAATTGTATTAAATGTTATGGTTGAGTGGATAGCATTCTTGCTTTATATTTGGATGGTTCCTGGTTCATATCTCAGCTGGGACACAAACTATTCTGACAGATGACTTCCATCATTTCCCCTTAACTTCTCCATGCAAATGCTAGGATAGTAGCTATAATTAGCTCATGACTGCATTAAGATTCCTATTCAGTCTTCTTAGAATGTGATGCCATGTAGCCTGATTTTGGAGGAATATGGTGTCTCCATCTTCAGTGTAGAAGACTCTTCCACCATGATGATAAAGGCAGCAGTTTCTTTTAGAACGCTGGTAACATTCTACCAGACAACATGGTGTCATATCTCAGGAGACAGAAATCTTCAGTCACTGACTTGAGGGCCTCAATTTCACTTAAATATGGCAACTGGATGAACCTCAACTTTGGATATCGAAACAGGGAACATCCTTCTATCGTATGTGAATATCATCCAATATGCATTCAACTAACAAATTTTTATTTGCTGATAATGGGAAACCCCTCTTCCCAAGAGGCATCTGATTTCTGTGGGAATCCAAGGCTCCCATCATACCAGATTATACATACCTCCATGACCAATATAAGACACAAATATAATCCAGGCCGTGAACAGACACCAGGTAATAGGTACAAATGCTGCAAAGTTGGCAGCTTCTGTTGTGTTATAGATGTAGTGTCGGCTTGCCATGTGTGCCGGGCTGATTATTGACATATAGAAGCAAACCATAGCAGCGGTCCAGCCCAGTGTGAGATGCATCTGTACACACAACAAGCTTTCATATACTGATCCAGTTCCAAATATTAAATTGTTGTTAACAACTGAGTGGAACCCACATTTAATTTTCTTTAAATTGATGCTTTATCAATTTTAATGTTGTACTTTCAATGATTGCCAAGTCAATAATCTCAATGTTAATTTTGTTAGGGCTTCTAATCTCAATGTGAAATGTTCCCCATTGAAGATTTTATTCAGTTTTCAAATCCACTGCTTCTAAAAGAAACCTTAACCTCTGATTTCCACACCCTAACACATAACTCATGCTTGAAACACTATGAAACACTAAGGCTGTTTCAGAGTAAATACAGTCAGAGACAAAAATCCAAAGTATTTCCTCAAATGATCATCAAATGCAACATGTATACATCATTTAAAAGCCTGTTCTTTACTCTAAACATTGGTACATCGGTATATTGATACACTGATGCCACCTACTGAAAGAAATTTTGATATTTTAAAGCTTGCTTTAGCAAGGGCATATATTTCACTGTTCTTTTTAGTAATAAACAATGGTCTACTGAGCAAACAATCAATTTCATTTTCAGGGTAATACAGAGATGGTCAGTCATATATGAGTATGTCTTTGCTCCTATTTTTACTATTGTGAATATGTAACAGAATATAAGGCAAAATAATTTTTGGCTTGCAATGCAACTACATTTATAACAGCAGTCTTTTATTCACAATAACTGAACATTAAGGCCAATAAGGTAGAGCAAACAGCAAGGAATGCATCTGGAACACTGTCTAGCTGTACCTTCTTAAGTCTGAAGTCTCTGCCACAGTAACGGAGACCAACGCCCAGGGCAATCCCCATAACATAAACTGTTGCCCTATGTGCTGGTAAGGTATATGAGAAGTCAGCTGTTTGAAACAGCTGTCTAATCCTGAAAACAGAAAGGTTGGTTGCTTTTGACATCAGTTAAAAAATATTTCTTCTTTGGTTGGAATAGATTGTTTTGGAGACCTAACTCTATATCAGAGGATAAAATTAAAATGGACCTGAGAGAGATAGGTTGCTGAAGAGAATATCTGGTCCTAAGAGAAATAACATGAGACAGGTGAAGACTGCATAATGAAGAAAGATAAAGCTATCCCTGGGTACAATCAGTTAAGCACCACACCGTGAAGATGTATGAGGGAGTGGAGGTTTACCTTTAGAATTCTTAACCACTGTACTATATGGCAGTCAGTTATACATTTCACACCTCTGACACTTTTAACCCCAGGAAAACAGCCCCCAGTCCCCATTCTTTAGGACAATGACTGGGCCCAGGGCCGGTCTATACATTACAGAGAAGAGAAAAATCTCTTGCTCTTACCGGGAATTGAACCCCGACTCCTCAGATTTTCAGCCCATAGCCTAGTTGTTATACTGACTGAGCTATCCCAGCTCCCACTGTGTAATTAGGAGCTTCATAAACTGCATTCATCACAATATGCTACAACAGTTAGGAAATCAAGGATGAGATGGATGGGGCATGCAGAATGCATGAAAAAAGAAGACATGACTAAGGTTTGATAGAAAAACATGAAGGAACAAGACTTATGCATATATGTGAGGACAATATCAAACCTGATCTCAAAAAAGTAGACTGAAGAATGTGTAATTTCTTTATTAAAACCATCACAACACAACAATGTTAAGGTCGGTGCCAAGTTTGGCTCTGCTACATGTTTCAGCTACCATTAGCCATCATCAGGCAAATACATGGCTAACATATATACACAGCTGAACAACGGTACTAAAAGAACTGGATACAATAATATTAATTATATTAAAATATTTGGCATAAAATACAATAAATTAGATTATATAAAACAAAAGTTATAATATAGAACAAGAATAAAATTCGAGTGATGTTTTACATCATCGAGTGGTCGTTTACATTCCCTACAGAATGGACAATACTTTGTAAGATGAGGCACCGACTAAATAATTAACATTAATATTACTACATCTACATAANTTAATATAATTAATATTAGTGTATCCAATTTTTAAGTACTGCGATTCAGTGGTTGTATATATGTTGGCCATGTATTTGCCTGATCATGGCTTCTAATAGCAGAAACATGTAGCAGAGCCAAAACTAGGCACTGACCTTGATATAGTTGTGTTGTGACGGTTGTAACAAAGAGGTTGTATATTATAACACAACAGGATGCATGAAATGAAAAATGAAGAATGTGTGCTGGACTTATTTGGCTTAGAACAGAGATTTAAAGACATTAGGGTCATTCCATGAGAAGTCATCCAGATAGGTCACTCGACCATTTTTAAAAAATGTTTAATTTTGTACACTTATTTCTACATATGCCTACAATGCCTAGCATAATACTAGGCATTACTTGTCTAGCTAAGCAACTATTAGCTTAGTTGGAGATAAGAGTATGACAGTATGGACTGGAGTGAGCTCACTCTGGATAGGGTTCAATGGTGAAATTTTGCAAACAGAATTATAAACTGCCTTTTCTGTGACTGGGAATTTCTTGAGGACCTAAACCACTCCCTGAGGTACATTTTGTACCATGGAATTACTGAAGTGTGTCACTGTTAGTGCAAAGTCACTACAATAAGGTTCAAATTACAAAACTAATGGAGAACACAATGAATATGTATAATCATAAAATAAAAATCCATAATCTACGTTTTACATCACACAAGCATTCCAATTACATTATTTAAGTGGCCTCCGTAGTCTAGAGGTAACGTTCCAACCTCATGACTCGTGGTATGCGGGTTCAAACACGGCGGAAGTCGTGGAATTTTTAAGGGCGGAAAAATTCAGGGAACAAGTCCTCCGGGGGGGACTTTAAGCCATGGGTCCCGTGTCGTAGCATTACGGCACGTAAAAGAACCTCATATCTCCAAAGGAGGTCACTGAGCTAAATTCAAGGACATTTCTGGCCCAACAGTAGTCTCTAATGCCTCTGATAGATGGGGGAAGCATTATAGATACTGCCAAGCCAGTAGAGGCCGAACTCGCTGGCTCAGTCGTGACTGATGGTCGCACCAATATCGGTAGGGTATAGAGACTGGTAGAATATCATAGAGGGAAGCACAATGGACCAATACTGGTCTCAGTGCATGGGGAAACCCACCCTCTCCAATAACTAACTAACTACATTATTTAAGATACAATGAATATTTGTGGGTGCATCTGTAAGAACACTGAAAAAATTCAATCTTAAGTGCATAAATTTTCTATGTTCAATTCACATGAATTCTTTGCATAGTATTTTTTATTTTATTTAGGTTTTGTATTCATTAGTTAATTTTCTGAATCATGAATCTAATTCCGAATCTAACTAATGTATAAAAATTTAGTTCCTACCTCACTGGAAACATATTGCATCTCCATTACAAAGAGGAAAATGTTAATGGAGCTTAGGAAAATAATTGCTGTTTATTCTGAGAATCATATAAAACACTGAAATACACTGACTAAATGCAGAGTTCATTTTAAGGTACATACAGTACATAACGTACTATAAAGAAAAAATGTAATGCCAATGTATGAATTTATTTATCCTTGGATATAATTGATTGTCTATCGTTAGACAGGTATAATTTGCACTTACGAGCTTCCGAAAACAACATAGTGAGACAGATGTTTGGAGTATGTCACACTGTAGCGTAGAGCTGTAGAGATGGCTGCAACACCTGTCAGAACACTCAGACCAATCTGCGGCCACCTCCACACAATGTACACGAAGAATGGAGACAGTGCAAACAGCTGTGTGTCTATTCCCAAGTGATGGGTATGTGTTAAACACTGTAATACATAATGATTTATGACGGAACTGGTTAGCTACAGGATTATGTTAACCCTTTCACTGTCTTCCCTCATCATGACTGACTGACTATTAAATTAATATTTTAATTATATTATTTAAATATACATGTTAAATGTCAGATGAGACTACAAACTGATCATAAATGATCAGTCAGTATGAAATTGGAAGGAGTTAGCTCTGGCATATAGGAAGATACTCTCCTAGAATTTTCATAAGAAACTAGGAAACCCCACGAAGAACCTAATGTCAGAACATCTGATAGTCTCAGAAAGATTCAAACTAGGCACCTTCGAAATACAATCAAAAGGAGATCTGGCTGAACTGTGACTTACAAACCACATACTGTTCTTATGAACTGTTGTGAAAAAAGAAAAAATATTAATCAATCACTTTTTACAAATTAAATATAAAAACTCTGTTTTGTGGTAGTCATGCAGCTAAACACCTATGCCATCTGATCGGCATCTGTCTGCAGCTACTGAACTTCTGAAAAAGATCACGTGCCTCTGATATTCAGTAAGTTAGCCACCACTGATTTACTCCATTACCACTATACAAACATGTGTGGTAATTATGTTCACTGCAGAAAAATTACAAAGTACCACATCAAAGCTGTCACATCATTCTCCATGGGAATTAGCCTTTCCATGCATCATTCACCCACTGAACATCATGTCTGTCCATTTCCTTTCTGACGAGTCATCTGCCTATGATGGCTAACAACGCATACCACACAAATAATACTGAATCATGCCAACATAAGAGGAATGTAATTGGGGCAGTTTTGGTGACACATAAATTGATCTAGGTTTTATTAGCTTATATCAGGTTAGATTAAGTGGTGTAGTTTATTTTAATTTAAAGGAGGTTCCTTATAACACAATTTACTTTTGATATTCTAAGTCTTTAGCCTCATATATACACCATTAATTTGCTAATGATCAAATTTTAATATCAATATTTTTTTTGTTCCTTGAATATATTTTATTTTGCAGTTTTACAGGTGCCTTTTCTTTGAATACAAACTCTCTGTTGAGTAGTTTCCTGGCATTTACCTGGAGGAACTGAGAAAATGAATTAATGAATATATATCAGCACCACATATCTTTGAAATAGAAGATATTATAAAATCCTTGAAAACAAAAAATTCATATGGATCCACTAGAATTTTAAAAGTCAGCAGTCCCTATATTTCTTCTCCTCTAACTTATTTATGTAACAGAATGCTAACAACTGGCAATTTTCCACTAAGATTAAAGTTCTCTGAAATAAAGCCCATATATAAAAAAGGTGATAAAAATGACACATCGAACTACAGACCTATTTCACTGCTCACATCAATTTCTAAGATCTTTGAAAAGGTAATCTATAATAGAATGCAACAACATATCAAGAAAAATAATATTCTTGCTAATGAACAGTTTGGATTTAGACATGCACGATCAACAGATGATGCAGCTTACTATCTTATTAATAA